AGTCCCACCCGCTCACCCTTCTTCTCTGCCCGCCGCATCCAACCCTGTGGACCTCTTCCCCAAATTCGTCTGGACTCCGCCCTCGCTTTCATCGTCATGACCTCAAAACGTGGCCATTAACAACTCGGCCCCTCTGTCCCCATGCTCACTTTTGTCCCTTACCAGTTTGCCCTTCATGTTGCAGGCAGGGTTGGGTTATTTGGGGAGTGTAAATGTCATTAGTTTTGCTCATCGGAAACTTATATCCGTTGGTTAATGCCTAAGATGTGCTTAGCGCAGTGCCTGATCCATACCAAGTCCTCAGCAAACTTGGCTCTTGGAAAGGTTTGTTTCTGAACATGGAAATCCTATTGTAGTCAGCCCTGATAAAAACGACGCAATAGAATGAGGCGGGGAGAAACCAGATTTCCACACAGGAAGGGACTTCTCTGAGTTGTTGCCGAGGCTTGCCGCTTTTCCTTGAAAACATGGTTCTAAGCCAAGGCTAGGGTGGGCTCACCTGTAATCCTAGTGTTAGTGAATTCAAGGCCAGCCCGGGGAACTTAATGAGACCCCGTCTCTAAATAAAAACAAAACAGTTGATCCCAGACTACTGAACCGTATCATGGCTTTGAATTTGAACTATGTGAGTGTAAGTAAGCTAAGGGAACTTTGAGTGAGAAAACTCTACACGTGATAATAAAAGGCTAGGCAATGTGCGTAGTCCACCTGAAACAAATGAATCAAAACAATGGGGAAAGCACAAGGTTTTATATGCATGTGGTTAAAACGACAAACAAATTACTCAAGAATGAGAAAACTCTGAAGGATTTGATCCATTGAAAGTCACTGGTTTATGGATGTATTCTTACTAGACTTCCAAGGAAGTATTAACACTGGGGAAAAACAATCTCGGGGGCCAGCAAACTTGACTTACAGTCTGTCTCACCGATTCCTTTTGTATGGTCCATAATCTAAATTTCTAAAAATGTGTAGAGTGGTTTTACACATGAGAGGAACGCTTCAGCCTGGCGACGATGTGAACTGTGTTAGTATCTGCAGGTGACGTTGTTTGGGCAGGCAGTCACACGGTCACTTACACACTGCTTGCGGCGCTTTCATCTACAGAGGGCGGTTGTGTTGAGATGAAGACGATCTGGCTCAGAGAGCCAAAATAGTTTTATTGAGCCACAGCCATGGTCATTGGTTTACCAACCCTCTTTGGCTGGTTTTGTTGTTTGTCTGTTTTGTTTTCCCCAGGGGCAGAGTTATCAGCTGCACTGGAGATCATATGACCACATTAAGGCACAAATATTTACAGCTGAAGAGTAGACGAGAAGGCACAAAAGTTTCTCACCTCGTGGCAATAATAAACCCTGACCAGAAAACCAAAAACAAACCCAAGAATACTGGGCTCGGCAGGTAAAGGGACTTGTTGCCAAGCCTGATGACCTTGGAACTCATGTGGTCGAGGGAGAAAACTCACCCATGAGAGTTGTCCTCTTGACTGTCACACCTTCACACAAACAGTAGGTAGCTTAAAATACAGCAATAAAGCAATTTATGAAGAGATGACATTATTAAATGATAAAAAACTCAATAAAAATATATTTAGAGAAAATATTATCAAGATGTTTATGTTTATTATCTTTCCAAAATAAGTCCCAGGAGGATATGTTGACAACTTCAGGGAGCAATTAGGCAAGAATATAAAGGATTTTTCTTTAAGAATTGTTTAGTATTTTATTTTGAGACATGGTCTCTCTATGTCTGCCCTGGAACTTGCTATGTAGACCAGGCTGTCTTCGAATTCACAGAGATCTGTCTGCCTCCGCCTCCCAAGTACTGGGATTAAGGGCAAGCGCCACCACACTTGGCTTTTTGTTTTTTTGTGTGTATACCCACTGAGGCCAGAAGAGAGCTCTGGATCCTCAAGAGAGGAACTCAGAATAGGAATTTAAAAACTTCAAATATGCTAACCCAATCCAAAGATACACTAATTTGATACATGCTGGGGAACGACCAGAAGAAAATATTGAAAGTCTTATTTTACTTTATATTGTTACCTTATCAACAGATTTCTTTGTAACTGTAGTAAAGACGCCGCAATTCCTAACATGCAAGTCTCAAATCTCAGTCAAGGTGGTTCAGACAGCCTTTGTTGGCACTGCCCGGTACGACAACATCCACAGAGCAAAGTACACAAGTGTTCAAGTACCAAGGCTGCGGTGGGTCCATGTAATGCACCATGAGAGATTGCTGCCCCAAACACCTCAGGTTCATTACTTGTTGGATTCCGAGTTTTTGGTTGTGCATTCAGGGGCCTTTTCACAGTGTGTACATTCAGTTATGCGGTTTAAGAATCTGGGATCTAGAGTTCACTGGAGCTTTGTGGTATGCACTGATGGGAACAACCCTGGCTGTGTCTGTGCCTTTTGGATCCAGAGAAATCAGCTGTCATAGTTGCCCACTTGAGGCATGCATGCCACAGTGTTCAGGATGGCCTGCGTTGACGGAAAGGCAGTCCATTTGACTGACAGTCCAGTTGCTCAGAGTTGCAAGAGAGAGTCCAGTAGATGCCAATTAGAGGCTCACATTGCCTCACCCAGCATCTTTTCGTGTTAAAATGAGCAACAGCAGGGGTGCTTTTGAATTTTACATTGATAGTAGTAGCTACTGGGTCTCTCTACATTGCCCTAGCAGTCCTGGAACTCACTCTGTCAACCTGGCTTGGCCTCGAACTCACAGAGAACTGCCTGCTTCTGCCTCCCAAGTGCTGGGATTAAAGGCTGGTGCCACCACCTTGCCTGGCTAGTGACTTTTTTGTTTGAAGATTTATTGATTATGTCTTCACTGTTCTACCTTTATACCAGGAGAGGACACCAGATCTCATGACAGATGGCTGTGAGCCACCTTGTGGGTGCTGGGAACTGAACTCAGGACCTCTGGAAGAGCAGCCAGTGCTCTTAACTTGTGAGCCATCTCTCCAGCCCCAGCTAGTTAACTTTTTAAGAGCATGCTTTAATTATGCTGAACACATGGTCATATGTGTCAAACACTCTTTGCCACTGGATACTAAGCCCCGAACAGGGAGAAGATGTGTAGTCTTGGTATATTCAGCCTTGTAGGGAAAGGCAAATCTGTGGATGGAGGCGGGTTATGTCCGGGAGCAATAACTAAAGCACGAAACAGGTCACACAGGCTCAAAAGTCTCTCGTGCTACTCTTGCCGGGCGAGGACTACATATCCCAGTTGCCATTGCGGAGGACCGCGCGACCACCTCCGGTAGGAACCAGAAGTCAGTAACGCTTCAACCCCGAGAACCCAGATTCTCAGGTGGAGTTCTTCTTGGTGAGCTTCGGGTGAGACTAGACGTGGTCTGGGAAGGCTGCAGGAGTGGTGTTCGTGTCGCCGCGAGGGTGGTCTGGCACCGGTGGGTCTGACACGCGTGTTGTGTGTGTGAGTGTGGGGTCGTGGGGCTGACCGGAAGGAGGCTGGGGGGAAATGTGAGACGGGAGCGCGGTGGGCGGGGCTTGTGGGACGGTCCCTCCCTGCTGGCTCTCCATCAAACGCGTGGTCTCAGGTGGCAAACCCAAGAATCCAGACACCGTGCCAGGCAGCTCAAGTATTTCTTTTCTTTTTTTTATTAGTTCAAATTAGGAAGAAGCTTGCTTCACATGTCAATCCCTCCTTCTCCTCCGTCTCCCTCTCCTCCACCCAACCCTCCACCCCAACAGCTCAAATATTTCTTGCTTTTATTTTTTATTTTTATTTTTTTATTTTTTTTAGTTCAAATTAGGAAGAAGCTTGCTTCACATGTCAATCCCTTCTTCCTCTCCCTCTCCCTCTCTCTCCCCTCCACCCCACCTACAGCTCAAGTATTTCTTGCTTTTTAAATTTTTTTTTATTAGTTTAAATTAGGAACAAGCTTGCTTCACATGTCAATCCCTTCTCCCTCTCCCTCTCCTCCACCCTACCTACCCCACCCCCACCCCCAACAGCTCAAGTATTTCTTGCTTGAGTTTTCTGGAGGAGACAACTCAGGACTCTTCTTAGGTAAGAACGAGAGATGGTTTGGAGGTGGCTAAAAAGAAATGAGAGCTGAGATTTGAGGAAGATGTTATTTGAAGTCCCAAGTGTTAGAGGAGGGTGTCAGTGGTCCCAGTGCTGGTAACCGGCAGTCTAAAGATTTGGAGGGTCACTTTGGTTTATAGGGTAGAGATGAGTTCAGGAAGGGGCCTTGACTTGCCAGAGTCACTTAACCAGACACTGCCTTCTCGGTGTTTGTGTTGCCCCAGGATTTAGGGGAGTGAGTGCCAGCCGTGAGAACGTTTCTTCCGAGTGCTCTACTGCTGTTCAAACTCATCAGCGTTTAGTTTTTCACCCGCCAGATCCTAATACTGTCACGGTAGAATGAGATTTGAGCTCCTGTGTACATGTACACACACTCAGGCACACACATACATACACAGAGTAAAATAAATATTTTAAAAAGGAAGTTCAGAATTAATTCAGCTACTTTCCCCCTTCATAATTAAAGGAACACGTCAGAGCCTGTAACAAGGGACTTCATCACAACTCATTTGTCATACTGCAAATTGAGAGCTGGGTCTCCTGACAATTCTCCAAAATCCACAAGGGCCGTTTGTTGTATGAAAATGACAGCCTCTGGGGAACATAGCTTCTACAGGAATTGGCCTCATCAAACCTTGACTTAGTTTCAGAGGGAGGTCTATTTTGTGGTGTCTGCTTGAATAAAGAGTACTGGGGTTGAGCACACTAGCATGGTGACTATTTCTCATTATTTATAGGCTGTTGGATTTGTGAAGAAGTCTTCCCAGAGGTTTGATATGTAAAATGGTGATGTTACTCCCTACTTTCTTTGACAGATTATGGAGATTAAAAAAGTATTACGCTGGTGGTGGTGGTGGTGGTGGTGGTGAACTCCTTTAATTACAGCACTCAGGAGGCAGAGGCAGAAGGAGCTCTGTGGGTTCGAGACCAGCCTGGTCTACAAGAGCTAGTTCTAGGACAGCCTCTAAAGCCACAGAGAAACCCTGTCTTGGGAAAAAAAAAGAAAACAAACAAAAAAACTAAATAAAAATAAATTAAAATAAATTTAAAAAGTATTAAAAGGACTGGAGAGATGGCTCAGAGGTTAAGAGCACTGGCTGCTTTTCCAGAGGTCCTGAGTTCAATTCCCAGCAACCACATGGTGGCTCACAACCATTTATAGTTCCAGTTCCAGGGATCTCATGCCTTCTTCTGTCTCCACAGGCACCATGCATGCACACGGTACACATATATGCATGCAGCCACCTTACACATAAAATAAAAATAAATCTTATACTTCTGGTTGTGAGCCTAGCCTTTAACGGCTGAGCTATCCCTCCAGCCCAATAAAAATAAATCTTAAAAGCAAAAAAAGATAATTAATCCAGTCTTTCTGGAGCCACAGAGCTGGCAGTTAGACTTACTGCTAATTAGCCCAAACATCTACTTTTCCACACTAATAATTACTATTTTTGCAGTGACTATCATGACTACTGTTTTTAGTAAACTAGAAGTCTAGAAAGAGGCAAAGAAGAGACAGTGATTAATTCCTGCTAATGAGGATATGTTATTAAAAGGTTCCTTCAAGGGCTGGAGAGGCGGCTCAGTGGTTAAGAGCACCGGCTGCTCTTCCAAAGGTCCACTTCTGTTATCACCTCTCACATGGTGGCTCACAACAGTCTGACTCCAGTCCCAGGGAATCCAGTGCCCTCTTCTGGCCTCCGTGGACCAGGCATTCATGTGGTAGGCAGGCATGCAGCCAAAATACATATGAAGTAAAATTTTTAAAAATTCAAAAAAGAATACTAAGTATGCAACATACCCTGTAAATCTCTGTTAATTGAATGGCTTTGGCTGGGGAAAATGATGCCAGATTGGCTGGCTGTGTTCAATTTGAAGATCCAGAATGGAAAGGAATTCTCAGCTGTGTTTTTAGGTTCCCACTTAACACCTGGTCAGTTGGTCTCAGTCTCTTGGTATGTTTGTCTGTTTCTCTGTCTTGTCTGTTGCTTTCTGTGTTGTAGGTGTGTTTCTGAGTCACATTTTTGCAACTTGATCTCCACAGTTTCTTTCTCATCCATCAGGTGTAGCTTTGGAGCCTATCCTGGCACTCGATCTGGAGACCAGGCTGGCCTCGAACTCACAGAGATCCGCCTGCCTCTGCCTCTGCCTCTGCCTCCGGAGTGCTGGGATTAAAGGTGTGCGCCACCCAACACCCGCTCTTCCTAGCATTTATTAAAGGAAATGACTGTCAATATCTTTCAGACCTGGAGTACATGTGGGTGACTAAAGAATTATGTCCAAATCAGGATATTTATTCATGAATTTATTTTGTTTTTTATTTCAAGACAGGGTTTCCCTGTGTAACAGTCCTGGCTGTCCTAGAACTCACTTTGTAGACCAGACTGTCTTTGAACTCACAGAGATCCGCCTGCCTCTGCCTCCTGAGTGCTGGGATTAGAGGCATGTGCCACCACTGCCTGGGACATTAATGAAGAGAAAATTTCCTATACAATAATTGTGGAAATCTTACAAAGTATGCTCTGCAATGTTCCACCTTAGGTAAAAACTGG